CCCCCCCCCCCGCTCGGCCCCCGTGTCTTATTTCCGTGGCTAATCCATCTAACCTGCACATCCTTGGACTGTGAGGAAACTGGACTTGCTGGAGGAAACCCACGCAGACACAGGGAGAACACGCAAACTCCACGTAGACAGTTGCCCAAGTGGGGGGGAAATCAAACCTGGGTGTCTTGCGAGTTTGAGGATGCTACTTACAGTGTTGATAAAGGAGAACCAGTGAATGTGGTGTATTTAAATTTCTAGAAGCTTTCGAGAAATACCACACAGGTGTTTGGTAAACAAAATGAAGTGTGTGGGAAGGGAGTGGTGGGGGGTGGGGTGCAGACAGTTAACATGGATAGGTACAGATTGAGAATTGATTTAGGCAGAAAACAGCAGTCACCAGGTTTTACTCGGAATGGCAAGCTTTACTAGTGAGGGAAGAATCAATGCATCAGCCATAGCTATTACTAATCTATATAAATAACATCTCTGAACAGGCTGATTACAAAGTAATTTTTTTTAAAAAAAAAATAAGTGACGCAACTCGAGCTTTGTGATGCAGTGGTAGTTTCCCTACCTCTGAGCCAAGAGGACTTGGTTCAGGTTCCACCTGCTCAGAGGTATGTAATAACATCTCTGAACCAGTTAATTAGAAAATAAATAGATGTGGGGACTAACTGCAACATTTCCAAATGTGTTAATGACAAAACTGGTGGCAGTGTAAGGATTTGTCAGGCAAAGTGAATAGGAAAGAACGTACTGAATATAATGAGAAACTGTCAACTTTAGTGGAAACCTAACACAGAAAGACAAAGTGTTATTGAAATGAGGAGTGTGGGAGGTGCAGGTGTCCAAAGGGACCTGGGTATCCTTGTTCATGAGTCACTGAAAGCTGGCATGCAGCAGCAACAAGCAGGATATCTGAAAGTTCGGATTAGTAGCAGGAGTAGGCCACTCAGTCCCTCCAACCGGCTCGGCCATTCAATAAGATCATGGCTGATCGCTTTGTGGTTTGAATTCCACATTCCATCTACATACTTTATAACACTCAATTTCCCTTCCCAGTAAGAATTTATACTTCTTTTAAAATATTCACCTATCATCCAATGCGGAGAATGCCAAAGGTGCACAATCTTAGAAAAATATTTTCCTCAGCTCTGTCCTAAAGGAGTGACCCCTAATTTTTAAACAGTGGCCAGTTACACAGTTCTGGACTGACCCACAAGAGGAAACACCCTTTCCCATCCACCTTGCCAAGATCATTCAGGTCACCCCTCTCTCTAAGCTTCAGTGGAAACAAGCCCAGTCTGCCTAACCTTTCCTCAAACAACCCACTCAGTCCAGGTATCAATTCAGTAAACCTCCTCTGGACCACCTCCAATGTATTTGTGTATTACCTCAAAGGAGTCTAAAACCATACATAATATTTCAAATGTGGTCTCAGCAATGCACCATATAACTAAAGTATGCTTTCTTTCACTTTTAATTCCTCTTGTAATGCAGAATAGCGTTCTATTAGCCTTCTTAATTAGTTGCTGTACCTGTATACTAACATTTTGTGACTCATGGATCAGAACACAGATCTCTCGAAACCTCAGAATTCTGCAGTTGTTCTTCATGTAAGTAATACTCTGCTTTTTTTATTCTTCCTGCCAAAGTGAACAATGTCACATTTTCTCACATTGTACACCATTTGCTAAGCTTTTGCTCACTCACTATATCTATATCTGTCCACAACTTCCTTACACCCTTTTCATAACATCCTTTCCCACCTACATTGATGCAATCTGCAAATTTAGCATCAAAGCCTTTGCTCCCCTCATCGAAGGTATTAATGTAAATTGTGAATAGTGGAGGCCCCAGTACAAACCCCTACATCACTGCTGTGACATTGATCGTATCCCACCAGCCTTATTCATACATCCTCACTGTTTTCTGGCAGCCAGCCAATCTTCTAACCACACTAATGTGCTACTCCCTACACCATCATTTCCTAATGTGCACGATTACCATTAATGTTGTACCATGTCAAATGCATTCTGGAAATCCAAGTACAGTACAACTACAGGTTCCCATTTAACCATGTTACTTCTTCAAAAGACTCCAATAAATTGGTTAAACATATTTCCCTTTGACAAGACCATGCTGACAATCCTCCCAATTACATTGGGTTTGTCCAAGTGTGTTCCCCACAACAGATGTCAAGCTGACTAGCCTAGAGTTTCCTGTTTGCTGCCTCTCTCACTTCTTTAATAAATATATTTGCTTCTTGCCAGTCTGAGGGAACATTGCCAGAATCTAGTGAATTTTCGAATGAATACTTCATTGACCAATATTTTTAAGACTGTCCCAATCAGAAGTGAGCACCCCCTATTTAACAAGCTGTTTCCATGGAGATTCAACCTGGGCCAAGTGTGAAGGGGAAGTAGAAACAATTTTTGAATTCACATACCCAGGATGATCGGGATGGTTGGCAGCGAGGAGGCACTGCAATGTCTCCGAGCATCTTGCGATACATGGCCTGCTCGGTGATCCGCTGCTCTGACTGCTTCCTCATGACCTGGGACAGTTCAGCCTGAATCGCCTGCAGATCAGCAGCAACAGCAACTGTTAGAGACCACAAAAAAGCCAAACCAAAACGCTCAGCAACAACAATTAGTGTTTTCAGAAAAGGTGTATCCTGTCTACCCAGATCATGGACTTCACAAGGAACTGACAATCCAAGAGGACTGAGAGATCGCCCAAATGCAGATTTCCAATAGAAATTTAATGTTTCCTGTGAGAGACCTGGAGTTTAAATCAATGACGTATTGGTGCAGGGTCACCTAGAATACACAAAGGGTTTTTTTAAAATCTGAGCAATCCTGACTACAAGAAAACCCCATTAGTTTCTAATCTGCATAACAATCTGAATTCCAAAACTCAGTCAAATTTAGGAAGAGGCAGCTTGGACATTACAACACAATATACCAACTTGTATTTATAAAGCACCTTTAAAGGAATCAAACATTCCAAGGCCCCTTGCAGGGTTACCTGTTGGAAACTGAAACAGAGTCACAAAAGGAAATAACAGGTCAAAAACATCTGTTTTAAGATGTTCTTTAAAACCAAGAGAGGAGCCAAGAAGAAATTCCAGAGGCTTGCACTCAAGCAGGTGAAGGCACAGCTACTGATGGAGGAGAGATGAAAATTAGAGATGTTCAGGAGGTCAGAATTAGACGAGTAGAGAGATTTCAGAGTTACTTAGGGGCTGGAGAATGTGACAGAGATAGGGAGGGAACAGAGCCTAGATGGGATTCGATAACAAGAACGGGAATTTTAAAAATTGGGATGGTTCAGAGAAGGTTTACTCGACTGATACCTGGAATGAGTGGGTTGTTTTATGAGGAAAGATTGGACAGACTGGGCTTGTTTCCACTGGAGTTTGGAAGCGTGAGGGTGACCTGATCGAAGAGTACAAGATCCTGAATGATCTTGACAAGGTGGATGTAGAGAGGATATTTTGTCTTGTGGGTCACTCCAGAATCAGGGGGCACTGCTTTAAAATCGAGGGTCTCTGTTTTAGGACAGAGATGAAGAGAATTATCTCCAGGTCGGATAACACAAAAACAGATCAGAAGTGGTGAGAATGAAAAAGAGTCTGCAGAGGGAAAACGACAGGTTAAGTGAGCAGGCAATAACTTGTCAGACAGAATATAATGTGGGAAATTCTAAGGCTATACACTTTTGTGGGAAGAATAAAGGAGCTGAATATTATTTAAATGGAGAAAGACTGCAGAAAGCTGCAGCACAGAGGGATTCGGGAGTCTTCATACACAAATCACAAAACGTTAACATTCAAGTTTAGTGGGTAATACGGACAGCAAATGGAATGTTGGCTTTTATTTTAAAGAAAACTGAGTACAGGGGATTTTACAGGTTGTGTGTGGAAAGATTGTTTCTCATTGTAGGAGAGTCTAGGACCAGAGGGCATAATCCCAGAATAAGGAGTCATTCTTTTGACAGAGACAAGGAAGATTTTTTTTGTCTCAGAGAGTAGTGAATCTGGGGAATTCTTTACCGCAGAGGGCTGTCAAGGCTGTGTCATTAAGTATATTTAAGGCTGAGACTGATTTTTAAAATCAGTCAGTGAATCAAGTAGAGTGGAGGATAATCAGATCAGCCATGATCTCATTGAATGTAGGGCAGGTTGGATGGGCTGAATGGCCTGAATGGCCTACTTCTGCTCCTTCATCTCATGGTCTTTCCAATATTTAATTGGTGGAAAATTTTCCTTACCCCATATTGGATGTGATCAGCAATTAGATAGTTTGGAAAGAGTAGAGGGTTTGTGAGAGGTGATGGTGATGGTGAAAGACAGCTGGTTGCTGTCAATGTAAATGTGAAAAGTGACAGTGTTTTCTGGTAACATTGCAAAGGCAGGCCCGAATCATGCCAGCGTGTTCGGCGTACTCCTGCATCTTCTACATTTCAAACGGGACTGAACCTCAGAAATACACGACTGGTGCAATGACACTCTCAAGAATCTCCATAAAAACAAGTCCTTCCCTTCTCAACACAGACAAGTGTTAGATGCTGCAAACTGCAGGGCAAGCTAGACAACAATTCACCAAATGGGTAGTGTTGAAAGAAAGAAAGAAAGAATTAAAGAGGCTGAAATAGGCCCAGGAGATTAAATACATAATCAATATTTATTCAACAGTGGCACATAGAGTTTAATTTAGATAAATGGGAGGTGCTGCATTTTAGAAAGGCAAATCAGAGCAGGACTTGTACACTTCATGGTAAGGTCCTGGGGAGTGTTGCTGAACAAAGAGACCTTAGGGGGACAGGTTCATAGTTCCTTGAATGTGGATCACAGGTAGACAGGATAGTGAAGAAGGTATTTAATACGCTTGCCTTTATTGGTCAGTGCATTGAGTACAAGAGTTGGGAGGTCATGTTACAGCTTTACAGGACATTGGTTAGGCCACTTTTGAAATACTGCATTCAGTTCTGGTCTCCCTGCTGTAGAAAGTATGTTGCGAAACTTGAAAGGGTTCAGAAAAGATTTACAAGGATATTGTCAGGGTTGGAGTTTTTGAGCTATAGGGAGAGGCTGAATAGGTTGACCTGGAGGGTCAGAGGCTGAGGGGTGACGTTGTAGAAATTTATAAAATCATGAGGGGCATGAATAGGGTGAATAGCCAAGGTCTTTTTCCCAGGGTAGGAGAGTCCAAAACTAAACAGCATAGGTTTAAGGTGAGAGGGAAAAGATAGAAAAGGGATCTAAGAGGCAACTTTTTCTACACAGAGGGTGGTGCGTGTATGGAATGAGCTGCCAGTGGAAGTGGTGGAGGCTGGTACAATTATAACATTTAAAAGGCATCTGGATGGGTATATGAAATAGGAAGGGTTTGGAGGAATATGGGCTAAATACTGGGAAATGGGACATGAATTTAGGATATCTGGTAGGCATGGACGTGTTGGACTGAAGGGTCTGTTTCCGTGATGGACAACTCTCTGACTCTATCACATGGGGATAGATGTAGTTCAAGGTATGTTCTACATACGTCCACACAGAGTTACATACCACTCACACACAAATAGAACCAATACTGGGAAGATAAGACAGTTCTTCACAGAAGAAACAACCTTTGCCATATCTGCCTAAAAGCCCATGCTGCCTCTCTGTGACAAAAAACGACAGCGACCACAGCTGTCAACACCCTGGGCAAAAGCACCTGCTCACCTTATTTGATGGTTCAAGCTGTGCAGCTTTCCTGAGGACAGGAATGGCCTCTGTGTATTCACCCTGCAGGGCCAGGACCTAGGAACAGAACACTAGCTGGTGAAAGGGTGTCAGGAGTACAGCCTCTCGCCATTCTGCCAAATAAACCAACTGTTCTTAGGAGACTACATGCAAACACCAACACCAGATGTGGACTGTAAGACAGAACTGTGATGCCTTTCCTGGATGAGCGATTCTTTAACACATAACTATCTAGTGGTGCAATGTGCCTTCTTAACATAGACTGAGCTGAAAGTAAAATACAATCCTTGGTTCCAATCATGCAAGATAAACAAAGCTTGTGCTTACTCAACATAACAGCAAAAAGGTTTCTTTCTTGTTCAGAGTGACCAAATTATGATAGAAATTTTACATTAAATTTGAAAGTGGTGTTCATTTAGGAACTAGGGTCTCAAATCTAAAGAAGGAAAATACTAAGGTATCGGGGCAAACTGGCTACAGTAGATTGGAACCTATGTTAAACAACATCACAAAAGACAGGCAATGGCTAACATTTGAAGAACAAATACATTGCTTACAACAAAAATAATTTACTTCAATGCACAAAGTCCAGCAAAAAAGCGTAAGCCTGAAGATCAGGAGGATTTTAAAATTTAGCAAAAGGACGGAGAGGCAAGGAACAATTAGGGGCAGTCAGCATGGTTTTGACAGGAAAATCATATCTCACAAACTTAATTAGTTTTTTTGAGAAAGTAACCGAGAAGATTGATGAGGGCAGAGCGATAGACTTTACTAAAGCCTTTGACAAGGTTCTTCATGATAGGCTAATTAGTAAAGTTAGATCACACAGGATTCGGGGTGAGCTTGCCAATTGGATACAAAACTGGTTTAACAGCAGGAGACAGAGAGTGACAGTGGAGCATTGTTTTTCGGACTGGAGGCCTGTGATTAGTGGTGTTCCAGAAAGATCAGTTACCCAAGTAAACAGAGATCTTGACCAACTGATTCAATGGGCTGAAGAGTGGCAGATGGAGTTTCATTTGGATAAACGTGAAATATTACATATTGGTAAAACAAACAAAGGCAAGACTTATACAATTAAAAGTAGGGCCTTGGGTTGTGTTGTAGAACAGAGACACTAGGTTCAGGTACATAATTCTTTGAAGTTTGTATCACATATTAGATATGGTGGTTAATAAGGTATTTAGCACGTTTACCTTCATTGCTCAGATCTTTGAATATAGGAATTGGAATATTATGATGGGGTTGTACAGGACATTGGTGAGGACTTTGATCTCCTTGTTACAGGAAGGATATTATTAAGTTGGAGAGGGTTCAGAAGAGATTTACCAGGATGTTGCTGGGAATGGAGGGTTTGAGATATAAAAATAGACTGGAAAGACTGAGATATTTTCTACTGGAACACAGCAGGTTGAGGGGTGACCTTATTCAGGTTTATAAAAAAATCACAAGGGGCATGGATAAGATGAATGACAGGGGTCTTTTCCCTAGAAAGGGAGAGTTCAAAACTAGGGGGCATATTTTTAAGGTGAGAGGAGAAAGATTTAAAAAGGACATGAGGAGCAACGTTTTTTTTCTACGCAGAGTATTTCGTGTGTGGAATGAACTTCCAGAGAAAATGGTGAATGCAGGTACAGTTACAACGTTTAAAAGACATTTAGATAAGGACATAAATAGGAAATGTTTTGAGGGATATAGGCCAAACACAGACAAATCGTACTAGTTTAGTTTGGGATTATGGTTGGCTTGGATTGATTGGACCGAAGGGTCTGTTTCCATGCTATATGACTCTATGACTGTTCTGTTGTGCACGCACCGTGAGTACAATTCAGAGATATCAAAGAAGTGTTATCATATCAAGATTGGATTTTGAGAGAGACTGGGCCTACCTTTCCTTTCCTGAAGAGGGCCTTGACGTTGTTCGGTTGGTGCTGGAGGGCTGCATTTGAGGATTTCAGAGCTGCCTCAAAGTGTTCGAGCTTTAACTGAGCAGCTGCCAGATTATTCAAACATTTCACCTTCACATTCATCAGCTCCTTCTCCTCCCCCTCCAGAAAGTCAACTGCAAAGTTAATATCAAGTTTCAAACAAAGAGAGTGAGTGAATGACTGAGAGAAGATGCAAGGAAGATGTGTAAGGGAGTGAGTGAGAGGGAGCAAGACAGAGTTAGTGCCCCTGGTAACAGCAGGGGAAACAATGTTGAGACAAATGGAAAAAGCCAGCCAAATGAGAGCTGGGAACAAGCTGCTCGAGTATTGCTGCCTTTCACACATGTGAAAATCTGTATGTCATATGGAATGATAGCATGCACTGACTGCTCACAGGGTCCAAGGATGTGACTGGCAACATCCCAGAAGGATCAATATTGTGAATTCAACTCTTAATGATTTATATATCTAGGTTTGCCAATGACAGAGATTACAAGATAGTAATCAGCTATTGATTTAAGATTATAAAACCATCCACTGATGGAGTAAACGAGTGTGGAAAACCGAGACAGGAGAATTTCAATGCAGGTAAGCATCAAATCACACGTTTTGGAGCAAAAAGTGAAAACACCCCAGCATTACCTAAACGGTAAAAGGTTAGAATCGCTGGAGATCTGGAATACAGTTACTTACAGAAAGGTATTAATGAATTGGAAGCAATTCAGAGAAAGTTGAGACTAATACCTGGAATGAGCGGATTGCCTGATGAGGAAAAGGCGACAGGCTGGGCCTGCATCCTCTAGAGTTTTGAATAGTCAGAGGTGATTTAATTGAAACATACAAGATCCTGAAGGGATTTGACTGGGTGGATGTGGAAATGCTGCTTCGTCTTGTGGGAGAATATAGAACTAGGGGTCATAGTTTAAAAATAAGGGGCTGCCTATTTAAGACAGAGATGAGGAAACATTTTCCCTCAGAGGATTTAAAATCTTTGGAAATCCTTTCCTCAAGAGGCAATGGATGCAGAATCTTTAAATATTTTTAAGGCAGGGGTGGATAGCTTCTTGATTTCAAAGGGGGTGAAAGATTTTCAGGGATATGTAGGAATGTAGAGTTGAGATTAAAATCAGATCAGCCACGATTTTATTGAATGGCACAGCAGACTCAAAGGGCTGAATGGCCTACTTTTGTTTCTTACTTGTATGTTGAATTTTAGTACAAGATTCAGGAAGCCCTATAAACCAATCATTAAAGTGAAGTAAGTCAGATACAAGAAATACCCAAAGGTTAATGGAATGTGTGCCTTGATAACTGGTGGCCCAGAATAGAGAGGGAGGAAGAAGCTGCAGCTCTCGAAATGAGACCACGTCTGGAATAACTGTGTACACTCCAGGCACAGTGGTACTGTTCTGAATTCAGGGTTAAAAGATCCAGATTCAAATCCCACCTGCTCCTGATACAAGTCAAAACATCTGGGCAAGCTGGTTAAAAATATCTACACTTCAGAACTAGATGGGCCAGATTTACTAGAATGCTACGTGCCAAGGCATGAACTAAAATCAAATTCCTTGGAACATTTAAACTATGTAAGTGATTAAAGAGAGGATTTTAGGATTTTGAAAAGAACTGATCAGTTGATAGACAGAGAGCGAGAGCGAGAGCGAGAGATGCCTCTCCAGGGACAGGGGCAGGACAGGCAATGGGCCTTACAATCCAAGCTAGGCCTTTTAGGAGAGGGGCTGCAACAAAGGACCAGGTCAATTCATCACTTTATATCATACACTGACAGACTGTGACTGGACAGGAATATCGAGGTACAGGGAGCCAGGAAGAAGCTGAATGAATGGTTGAACAAGCTACCGAGACTGAATGGCATCATCCTGCACCCCCCTATCCTCACATTAGTTACATCTTTCATTTTAGTTCCATTCAAACAACTCCTGTAGCGGTGCAGTGCTCAATTTACCTTTGGAGCTGGAGTTGATGATATTGAGAGCAATGTCGTAGGAGCTGATTGCAGAGACATATTCATTTCGCAAGAAATACGTATTTCCTCGCTCTCGTTTCTTATTAGCCAGCAGCAGTCTCTCCTTCCCCGACAACAGTTCCAGGTCCGGGCTGTCACCCACAGAGAGAAGCTGAACCTCCAAATGGACAGTGGCATTTGAGGGCACACTGGGCTCAGAGCTGAGAGATGAGAGACAGCATTAATGACAACTCTTACTATACCAACCAGTTCCACATACCTTATGCTGCACAGAATATTTACTTTAAAAAACAGATGATGCCACAGGGACACAGCATTGATAAAGGTTCCCACTGGACCTCAGTACAATCCTGCTCAAAACAACAGGCTGAAATTCTGCTAACTGCAAGACTCCAAAATCCAGGAGGTCCATCACAAAAAACTCATGGAAAAAATCCAACACCAGTCAGCCAAAGATGGACAGAAATCCGAGAGAGAAATGATAGAGCAACTCAGCATTTTACAAGGAGCTTTACTCTGAATCTAAACCGTGCTGTCCCTGCCCTAGGAGTGTTTGATGGGGACAGAGTTAAAAGGACTTCACTTTCAGTTTAAAAGAGTACAGTTACCTCTCATCCTTTTAAACTCCAATGAACACCAGTCCAACCTGTTCACACCTTCCTCACAAAACAATCCCTTCATCCCAGGAATTAGTTTAGCTAACCCTCTGAACTGTTTTAAGCTTGTACTGTCCGTGTCTGAGGAGTCTTAATGAAACATGGACCCATGTGCTGAGGGATTGATACAGAGAAACAGCTTGATAATGTCTGCAGTAAGGATTGGGGTTTGCTGATCCAGATGCTCAGGAATTACAAGGAGGTCTCTGCACCCACCTGCCCAGACTGCCGTAAGCGTACTTTGCATCAGAGACAATCAATGCAACTTCATTCTGGTCCATCAGCTGAACGCAGAGATCTAATGCCTGGATAAAAAGAGAGAACGAGACCCTGAAACATTACTCTCACGGCACCTGCCTCTGTAAAGACAAAGGAACCAGAAATCTAAACAGAAAGTGCTGCAGGAACTCAGCAGCTCCAGCAGTATCTGTGAGGGTGGAGGAGGAGGATGGAGTAGGTGGCGAGAGGGGGCGAGGTGAATGTTAAGTCAAGTATGAATGTTTTTTGCAAGTTCAGAAGAGCCACATCCAGCACTTTCTGTTTGAATTTCAGATTTCCACCATTTGCAGTGGTTTGTTTCTATTGGAAAGGAACAAGAAACCCGCCCAAAACCAACCTGGATAACATCACCGTCCCCCACGGTGAAACAAAGATTGGGATCTTCCTCCACCTCTGTCCCATCCTCCAACGTCATCTTCAGCCTCACTGTTACATTCTGACCTTTCTGTGGCCTCGGCTCCTGACTCTGGCCAGCTACTAGAACTTTCTTCTTCAGCAGCCCGTTCCCTGCAGGAGTGAGCAAGGAAATTAAGCCCTGAGAATTGGATAAGAGGAGGATTCAGTGATGATGCCATCCCAAGTTATATGTTTGTGGGTTTTGCTGGTCAGGCCAGCATTTATTTTCCAGCTCCAATTGCCCAGAGGATAATTAAGAGCCTACAACAACACTGTGGGTTTGGAGTCACACATAGGTTCGACTAGGGAAGGACAACAGATGTCCTTCCCTAGGCAGACAGCAAGACAGAAGGATCTAAAGTCGACTAGTGGCATGACCAGCCACTACGGCGCTCCCTCAGCGCTGACCCTCCGACAGTGCGGCGCTCCCTCAGCGCTGACCCTCCGACGGTCCCTCAGCGCTGACCCTCCGACGCTCTTTCAATATTTAATAAACAACTAACATGTGGAAAGAATGTGACAGGTAGTGTGTGAGACAGCTGAACCATACCCAGGACCTGAAGCCACTCATCATCAGTTTCCTGTGAACTGTCCTGATTCGCTGCCCTGCTTCCAGCCTCTTCGTTCATCTTCCTGATGCTGGACTCCGGGTTTTCCTCATCTGCATCCTGGACCTCAGGAAGTCCCAAGACTTCCAAAGAAGGGAGCTCACTTGTGTCCTCTTCATCTGTGTCATCATTGCTCATCTCAACATCCTCCCCACTGTCAAGGAGAGAGGCTTTTGTGCGGACTGGGAGCTTCCCTGAGGCGTGAGTGACATCACGCTTACTCCCTGGAGTTACTGCATCTCCGGCTGCCCCCTCAGAACCCCGGGCCACCTCCTCCATGTGAGCTCAGAAACTGCAAGGGAGGAAAAGTAAGTAAGTAAATGAACTGGCACAACATTCTCCAAATTCACCATCAAGCAGCTCCCACTGTCCCATTACTGAGAAAGTAATTGAGTTTTCACATGTGAAGTTACTACCCAGTTCCTCAGTGGGACAGACACTGAGAGGATCAAGGTAAATGGTGATGCCCCCACAGTTGGACAGCATCCCTGGCTTGCTAATTAATATTTGGTGCTTTCAGAGCCGGCTATTACAGCCCCAGCAGATATTATTTCCTTCAGAAGAGAAGGAACAGTCAGAGAGAGAGTGTGTGTGTGTATCTGCTCCCTGAAGGCACAGCTGATCGACTACAGCAGGCAGCTGAGGTCACTGCAGCAGCAAAGGCCCCAGCCTCCATTAATCCAGGGGCAGAAAGGGAATTAAACAGACTCCATGCAGCAAAAGTGCCCTCAGACTGGGGGACACCACAGGCCTTAGACCCCCGAGGGTATTTGACCGGTTTCTATGGCCCCGGAGGTATCTGACCAGTTTCTATGGCCCCCGCTCACTCTGTCTCTCACCTTCTCCCTAACTTCCGCTCTTCAACCTCAGGCTCCGCCCGCGGGGTCTCATTGGACAAACACGCGGTGCCCTCGCCGTTGATTGGTTTCTGCGGAATGTCAGTCAAATCAACTTCCTTTTCCTCCACAGTTTGGCACCAACGGGATCTCTTAAAGTGGCACCCACCCAGTGAGCCAGCACCCACCAGTGAGCCAGCACACACCCAGCACCCACCCAGTTAGCCAGCAAACACCCAGCGAGCCAGCAAACACCCAGCACCCACCCAGTGAGCCAGCACCCACCCAGCAGCCACCCAGTGACCCAGCAAACACCCAGTGACCCAGCACCCACCCAGCAGCCACCCAGTGACCCAGCACCCACCCAGTGAGCCAGCAAACACCCAGTGACCCACCCAGACAGCCAGCACCCACCCAGTGACCCAGCAAACACCCAGTGACCCACCCAGACATCCAGCACCCACCCAGTGACCCAGCACCCACCCAGTAACCCATGCAGTGCCCCAGCACCAAACCAGTAGCCCACCCAGAGAGCCAGCAACCACCCAGTGACCCAGCACCCAACCAGTAACCCACCCAGTGACCCAGCAGCCACCCAGTAACCCACCCAGAGACCCAGCACCCACCCAGAGACCCAACACCCACCCAGAAACACAGTACTCACCCAGTGAGCCAGCAACCAGCCAGTGACCCAGCACCCAGCCAGTAACCCACCCAGTGTCCCAGCACCCACCCAGAAACACAGTACTCACCCAGGGACCCAGCACCCACACTGCACACACCCAGTGAGCCAGCACCCACCCAGTGAGCTAGCACAGCATCCACTCTGCACCCACCCAGAGATACAGCACTCACACTAAGAGTCAATACGCATCAAGTCAATAAAACCATTCAAAGACAGCAGCACATAATAGAATGGGGCCCATACGTGCAAACTATCCATCCAAATATGCATCACCACCATGAACTTGTAGTACCTATCCCCACCCACTCAGATACCACAATCTCTGCTGCTTTCTGGACCCTAGTACATTGTTTCAGCCTGTATAGTGTATCTAGACAAGCTGAACTCATCCATTGCTGCAGAGGTCCTGTGTATCTGAGTGCTGTGGGGCTGCCACTGAGACCTGTCCTGACCCACAGGCACCGCAACATTAAGCCATGCATAAGGGGAAGGTTAAATAAGGTGAATGAGTGAATGATGATGAGGGATAAATGTAGTTGAATGTGGTTTGGTTTCTTGTGTAGAGAGTAAAGTCTAACAAATACAGGAAGGACTGATGACTTTACAAATTTGTTTGCAAATTCCATGCTGTTCTGAATTTATTTCGGACTGTTTCTTGTCTACAGCCATCTTCGACTCTGTGCCCCAAACCCCTTCCCTTCTCATGCCAGGATCTCCTCAGTTGTGAATCTTTGGAAATCCCTTCCCTGGAGACTGGTCCATTTTGGGCTGTAGTTGACGCTGGGATTGTCAGTTCCTCTGGAATTAAAGAAAGAAGTAAGTGGGTGGGAAGGGGAAGCAGTTACAACTGTATTGATTCCAGGAGCTGGCTTGAGGCACCATATATACAACCAACTCCTGTTCCTATTTCCCATTCTTTTGGATGATTCATCCTTCTCATGGTGTCTTTCTTTCTTGACAGAATATCTAGGAAATAGGAGCAGGGGTAGGCCATTCAGCCCCTAGAGCTTGGTCTGCCATTTCCCAAGATCATGGCTGATCATCTGTCTCAATATCATTTTCCCATATTATCTTCAGAACCCTTGATGTCATAAGTAACTAGAAATGTATCTTGAACATACCCAATGTTTGAGTTTCCACAACTTCTGGGATAGAGATTTTCAATGATTAATGCCCATTGGAGTGAAAAAAATTCCTCCTTGTCTCAGTTCTAAATGTCTTGCCATGCTATGTTTCCTGTCTCTAACCTCACCAACCAAGGCATGGCAGGAAACGCACCGTTGTTCTGCCATTCTCACATTCCAATCACTTAAAAGGAACTATCAACATCTTTGCAACACCAGCACCCTACACCCACTAACCCTAATGCCCCCCTCCCCATGCTATTGCATCAATGCTGTCCCCTCCACACCACTTCAGCTCTGATGAAGAGTCATCTAGACTCGAAACGTTAACTTGCTCTGTCTCCTTGGATGGTGTTTGACCTGCTGTGATCTCCAGTATTTTATTGTTTTCAACCAAGAGAAATATCCTGAGATGCTGTCACAGCTTGTAGGGTATTATAGTAAGAATGTTGAAAGTTTCAATGAGTTCATCTCCTATTCTTTGAAACTCTGGAGAATATAGGCCCCATTGGCCAAATTTCTCTGCAGAGGACAGTCTTGTCATCTTGGAAACAAGCCTGGTGAATCTTTGTCCAACATCCTCTATGTTAAGTGTGAAGAAACTTCATGTAAAGGATTATTTTTATTTGGAAACCTGGCATTTGAAGTGGATAGAATCATCTATAGTTTTAATTTGAGTTACACGTTTACATTATGTCTGTTGAAAAGGGAAGGACTTTGATTTGGTTTCATTTTAGATTTGTCTTCACCAAGGTGTCTGAAGTTTGTTGACATGCATCAAAAGTAGTACTTTAAAGCTTTTGGGGTGAATAGTTCACTGCATTAGAAACAAGAGTAAAAAAAAGTTTAAAACAAAAGTAAAACTATTTAACACTTGCCTAGTGTCACAACTCACTGGAGTAGCACTTTCCCATACTCCCAGAGTCATCACAAATGTGAAAAGATTTTGTCAAACCAGCCAATGTCCACAAGTTACCTGCTGATGAACTCAAGCTAAAAGAAAACACTCATCAGGTTTCTGTGCCTACCAAAAAATAACTGTTTATTACATGTAAATGGTCTTTAAACAATGGCATTTGGGAAATATGAATTACCAACTTATAATTCCACAACTTAAACTCCACCATTTTCAAATTCTCTTCCCTCTCACAAACAAACAGATTCATGGAGACTGACAAGTCATGGATATTAAGGGTGGAGAAACAGGGGGAAGAAAGGAAAACACAGGATTTGTTGAGTTGTTTTCTCTCTCTTCCAATTATTTTTGTTCTTTGTGGCTGACACAAGATTCTTTACACACTGATGCTCTCTTTCATTCACTGGTTGAAACTATACACACTACTTCTTTGAGAATTATGAAATATCTCTAACTGTCAGTCATAGTTTATCTATTATCTTGCCTTTCAACGATTTCTTCCATTCAACTTTAGCCAATCTGTTAGTCCCTTTGTAATTGTTCTTAATTACATTTAAAGCACTAATTTCAGACCCAAGATTCTCACTCTCTAGCAATATGAAATTCTTTCGCACTTTGACCGCTACAGAATCCTTTATGATGTGGTAACTAATTAGCCCTGTCTCATTCCACATTATTAGGCACAAAATAGTTGATTCCCTGGTTGACTTTTAAACATATGTTTCTAAAAATGTTTTCTTAAATATAATCTATGAATATGTCCCTGATGTACCTTTGCCAACTTGATTTGGCCAATCTACATGAAGACTAGCGTTGCCCGGAATTATTGCTGTTCTTTTCTGACAAAAGCTCATTAATTTCCTTTTTATTATTCATTCAGGGATGTGGCATCACTGGCTAGGCCAGCATTTATCCATCCCTATTGCCCTTGAGAAGGTGATGGTGAGCTGCCTCCTTGAACCACAGACCATGTGCTGCAGGTAGACCTACAATGCCATTTGGGAGGGAATTCCAGGATTTTGACACAGTGAAGGAACAGCAAAATCTTTCCAAGTCAGAATGGAGAGTGCCTTGGAGGGGAACTTGCAGGTGGTGGTGTTCCCATACGTCTGCTGCCCTTGTCCTTCCAGACAAAAGATATTTCAAGTTTGGAAGGTGAATGTCTGCAGTGCATCTTATAGATGGTACACACTGCTGCTCCTGAGTGTTGGTGGTGGAGGGAGTGAATGTTGAAAGTGGTGGATTGGGTGCCAATCAATGGGCTTATTTTTCCTGGCTAGTGTTGCAATGTGAGTGTTTTTGGAACCACATCCTGAGTTAACTCAGTCGGATACTATAAATAGCTACAAGAGCAGGTCAGAGGCTAGGAATACTGCGGTGAGTAACTCACCTCCTGACTCCTCAAAGCCTGACACCATCTACAAGGCATAAGTCAGGAGTGTGATGGAATACTCCCCACTTGCCTGGATAAGTGCAGCTCAACAACACTGAAGATGCTCCACATCATCCCGGGCAAAGCATTGATTGGCACCACATCCACAAAAATCCACTCCTCTACCACCAATGCTCAGTAACAGCAGTGTGTACTATTTACAAGACGTACTGCAGAAATTCAGCAGAGATCCTTAGACAGCACATTCCAAACCCACGACCACTTCCATCTAGAAGATCAGATGGTACAGACTCGATGGGCTGAAGCTCACCACCACCTTCTCAAGGGCAACTAGGTTTAGGCAATAAATGCTGGTCCAGCTAATGGCACCCACATTTTATAGTGAATAAAAAACGTTATGAGCCTGTAACTATTCCCACGAATTCTCAAGGACTGTGCGGTGGTCACTCCTACTGATACTGTCATGGACAGATGCATCTGCAGCCAGCAGATTGGTGAGGATGATGTCAAATATGTTTTTCCCTCTTGTTAGTTCCCTCACCACCTGCCGCAGACCCAGTCCAGCAGCTATGTCCTTTAGGACCCGACCAGCTCGATCAGTAGTACTGCTGCTGAGCCACCCTTAGTGGTGGACATTTAAAATCCCCGACCCAGACTACATTTTGCATCCTCACCCTCACGGTCATGAATAGATTCTTCATCACTGATTTTTTTAAAAATGTTGAATTCAAATTCCACCATTGCCATGATGAGATTCAAACCAGGTTCCCAGAAAATTAATTGAGTTTCTGGATTAATAATCTAGCGATAACATCACTAGGCCATTACCTTGTCTTTGTTATTAATGTTGCATGCCTTCAGACAAAGAACTTTTAATTTTGTCTTTTCACAATTTTACCATGTTTTGACCCCATTTTCACTCTTAAAATTTACATTTTGCCGTTTCCTCATTCTGGTTGTTATCACTGGCATGGAGCACATTTGTCAAGTTTACAGATATAGCTTCATTTCTAAATAAGGATGTAGGAATTGGTAGGACATGTGTGATGACAGAAGATTTTTCACTCACACAGTGTACATTAACTAATTTCAAGGATTTAATTTGTTTTCTATTCATTTGTGGGGTGTGGGTGTCGCTGGCTGGCCAGCATTTCTTGCCTATCCCAAGTTGCCCTCAAGAAGGCGATGGTGACCTGCCTTCTTGAACCGCTGCAGTCCACCTGCTGTGGGTTGACCCACAATGCCATTAGGGAGGGGATTCCAGGACTGGTGACAGTGAAGGAATGGCGATATATTTCCAAGTCAGGATGCTGAGTGACTTGGTGGGGAACTTGCAGGGGCTGGCGTTCCCATGTATCTGCTGCCCTTGTCCTTCCAGATGGAAGTGGTCATGAGTTTGGAAGGTGCTGTCTGAGGATCTTTGGTGAATTTCTGCAGTGCATCTTGTGGATAGTACAGACTGCTGCTTTTGAGCTTCGTGGTGGAGGGCGTGGATGCTTGTGGATGTAGTGCCAATCAAACAGGCTGCTTTGTCCTGGATGGTGTCAAGCTTTTTGAGTGTTATTGGGGTTGCACTCATCCAGGCAATGGGGAGTATTCTATCACACTCCTGATTTGTGCCTTGTAGATGGAGGACAGGCTTTGAGGAGTGAGGAGGTGAGTTACTTGCCACAGTATTCCTAGCTTTTGGTCTGCTCTTGTAGCCACCGTGTTTATGCAGTGAGTTCAGTTGAGTTTCTGGTCAATGAGAATCCCCAGGATGTTGACAGTGGGGGATTCAGTGATGGTAACATCATTGAATGTCAAGGGATGGTGGTTAGATTGTCTCTTATTGGTGATGGTCATAGCCTGGCATTTGTATGGTGCAAATGTCACTTGCCACTTGTCAGCCCAAGCCTAGATATTGTCCAGATCTTTGTTGCATTTGAACGTGGACTGTTTCAGTACCTGAAGAGTTGCTAATGGTGCTGAACATTGCACATTCATCGGCAAACATCCCCCACTTCTGACCTTATGATGGAGGGAAGTTCATTGATGAAGCAGCTTAGATTGGTTGGGCCAAGGAGAATATCTTGGGGAACTCCTGCAGAGACATTCTGGAGCTGAGATGATTGACCTCCAGCAACCATGACCATCTTCCTATGTGTCAGGTATGACTCCAACCACCGGTGAGCTTTCGCTTGATATCCATTGATTCCAGTTTTGCTAGGCCTCCTTGATGCCATACTTGGTTGAATGCAGCATTGATGTCAAAGGCTGTCACTCTCACCTCACCTCTGGAATTCAGCCCTTTTGTCCATGTTTGAACCAAGGTTGTAATGAGGTCAGGAGCTTAGTGGCTATGGCAGAACCCAAACTGGGTGTCACTGAGCAGGTTATTGCAGAGCAGGTGCTGCTTGATAGCACTGTTGATGACGCCTTCCATCACTTTGCTGATGGTCAAGAGTAGACTGATAGGGTAGTAATTAACTGGGTTGGATTTGTCCTGCTTTTTGTATACAGGACATACTTGGGCAATTTTCCACATTGTCAGGTAGATGCCAGTGTTGTAACTGTACTGGAACAGCTTGGCAAGGGGAGCAACAAGTTCTGGAGCACAAGTCTTCAATACTTTTGCCAGAATGTTGTCGGGGCCCATAGCCTTTGCATTATCTAGTGTCTCCAACTGTTTCTTGATATCACATGGAGTGAATCGAATTTAAAGTATGAAAGGACCATTTTCAAACCTAGCAGCAATAAACATGTCTCACCTTTAGATGGCAGGGTGGTAACATTTTACAGATCAATTTGCTGTTCCAGAAGATAATCTGTCTCAAAGTTGTATTCCACAATGATGAGTTACTTTTATCTTAAAAGGTTTCTAAACAAGAGTTAAACAGCAATGTACAATTAGTGCGTTAATAACAATAAGTTGCTGTTGTAAACCCAGTGCATGTTTTCGGAACAGAAGGCCCAGAACAGTCATGGTCAGGTTCCACACGCCCCTCCTGCAATCTTCATTGCCTAGTTGTGAGGCATTTGCATCAATTAGATATATTGTGATTGACATTTTGAGGGCCGTTGATTATTGATGTAATTACATAAAATGCAAATAATTAGTTTGCATTTGAAGACAACCATGCAGACAGCTTACTTTTGATTAGCCTTTATTTTATTTATTAATGCCTCATTCTTTCTGTGATTGTTCTGTGAATAACTTATTTATTGCTGATCATTATTTTCTGGCCAATCATTAATACTGACTAGCAATGCCATTTTAAGTTGCTACCTGAGCCAGCTGTCTCCATCTTTGTCACGGGCGAAGGTGTCTACCGACAGAGCATGGAATGAAGAGGTTGATGCTAAGTAGCCGCCGCCATCTTTGTGCCAGGCCCGCTTGACTGGCACCATCTTTGTAACAGCCGAGGCCACGCCTGATTGGCCGGCACCATCTTTGTGACGGGCGCTGTGCTGATTGGCTGCGCGCCATCTTTGTTACTGGCGGGCTGTCCGGCGGGCGGGCGGTCTGGCGGTGCCCGGCTGTCGCGGGGGGGAGGGGAAGCAGCGCGAGGGAAAATGGCGGCGCTGAAGGAGGAGCAGAGTTACGCGCTCTCCTGTGGGAAACTCACCTCTGGCAACAACCTCTCGGTTCTTCATGTTAAACTCACCGACACCGCGCTGCGGGCCCTCGAGGCTTACCAGAACTGCAAGGTGAGGAGTGAAAAGGTCACGGCCGTGTGTTTGTGCTGGGGAGTGGGGCAAAGGGTGAGCGCTCTGGGGAGGGTTCGGAAGAGGGAAGAGCCCTGGGGAGGGGGTAAAGAAGTGAAAGACGGGGGAATGCTGGGGCAGGGGGTAAAAGGGGAGCACCCTGGGAAGTGGGGTAGCCCTGGGAAGGAGAGGGGAAGTGGGAGAAAGAGGGGCGCGCCTTGGGCAGGATGTAAAAGTGGGAAAGAGGGGCAAGCCCTGGGGAGTGGGGAGGAAGAGGGGGGAGTGCTGGGAAGGAGATAAAAGGGGAGCACCCTGGGGAGGGGATAGCCCTGGGAAGGAAGGGGGACGTGGGGAGCTCGGGGAAGGAGAAGTGGGGACCCTTGGGAGGGGAAGAGCGGTGAGCCTTGGGCAGGGTGTAAAGGTGGGAAAGAGGGCCACGCCCTGGCGAAGGGGGAGGAAGAGAGGGTAGCCCTAGGGAGTAAAAGGATGGGGTAAAGGTGGTGAAGCCTTGGGATGTGGGCTGAAAGAGGGAGGAGTGCTAAGGAAGGGGTAAACGGGGAGCCCCCTAGGGAGCGGGGTGCCCTCGGACAGGGGAGAGAAGGGGGGGGTGCAGGAAGGTGGGTGGGGAACCCTGGGATGGGCAGTGGGGGAGGTGGTGGGGAGTCCTGTGGGGGAGAATGAGGTGAGGGGCACCCTGGGGAGAGGGTTGGAAGAACAGGGAGCACCCTGGGGAGGGAGTAAGTGTAGTAGAGAGGAGGGTAGCCTTGGGAGGTCATGGGTGGGGGGAAGGTGAGAAGGGAGCCCAGGGAAGGGGAAGGACGGTTGAAAAAGAGGGGAGTGCTGGATGGGGGAAGAAGGATCTCCTGGGATCGAGGGTGAGACAGCGCGAGGAGGTGCCCTTGGGGGTAGATCGGTCCCCTGAGGGGAGAAGGGCCTGGGTAGAAGGACAAGGGTTCCTGGAGACAAGAGGCCAAGTGTACTGTGGCAGGTGGAGAGAGAGTCCCAAGGGAAAAGAAGAAAGGGGTTTGCAGGTCTGGGGGAAGGGGTGACAGTGGGTCCTGGGATGAGGGGGAACGTGGACAAGAAACATTTCATTGGGTTAAACATAGTAAGAACTGCCAATGCTGGAGTCAGAGATAACCGTGTGGAGCTGGAGGAACACAGCAGGGCCAGCAGCATCTTTCTGAAGAAGGGTCCTGACCCGAAACGTCAGTTTTCCTGCTCCTCTGATGCTGTCGGCTCTGCTGTGTTCCTCCAGCGCCACACTGTTACATTTCATTGGGTTGGTGCCTTCCCCCACTAGCCCTACGATGGTAAGGAGCCTAGGACCTCAGAAAATGGGCCAGAGTGTCCAGGTTCTGAGCCTCGCCACCTTGGATTGTTACCATGCAGTGCTGCACTTTCCTGCTGAACTCCCCATAGACAGATTGAAGGGCTATCTCCTTAAATTTACTCAAATGTCTTAGCATTCACCGTACTCTGGGATAGTGAATTCATGGATTTGTAACCCTTTGAGAGCAGTAATTTCTCCACATTTGTTTTAAATCTGCTATTCCTTAACTTAAAACTGTTTGTTCCAACTGCTTTGGGACAGCACGGTGGCACAGTGGTTAGTACTGCTGGCTCACAGCGCCACGGATCCCGGTTCAATTACTACCTGGGTGTCTGTGTGGAGTTTGCATGTTCTAGTTGTGTCTGCGTGGGTTTCTGTTGGGTGCTCTGGTTTCCTCCCACAACCCAAAGGTAAGGTTAGCTGGTTGGGTGGATTGGCAATGCCCTGTAGTGACTAGGAATGTGTAGGCATGGTGGATTAACCAATGAAAATGAGAGGTTTCGGGGTAAGGGTAGAGGGCTGGGACTTGAAGGTCGGTGCAGGCTTGATGGGCCAAATGGCCTCTTTTCCCATGGTAGGGATTCTATGAATCTTAACAGCTGGTGCTGCCAGTTAGAAATTACCCAAGGGCTACATCAGAAGAGTTTCTAACCTGAGATAGAAATTGATAGAAATTCTCAGCAGGTCTGCCTGTATCTGTGGAGGGAGAAACAGAATTAATGTTTCAGGTCGATGAACTTATCAGTTCAAGCTACAATCCTTCCCTATTTCGTGCAACCAGAAGCTGAGACACTGAAAGGGGTCTACGGCAAAGTTGGTCACTCTGTAACTGCTGACTAATTCTGGTTTGAAATTGTTGCCAGTACCATAATTTCCATGGAAGGTAGTCATCTGCCAGTATTTATTGGTTTATTTAATTGTGTCTTTGGTGTATCTTTTCTTTAAAATTTGAATTCCATGTTCTGCTTAGAATCGGCGGAATGAGAATGAGCGCTGTCTAGAGTGAATCAATGATATTTTTTGAATTGTTAATAGACTGTTGTCTGAGAAAATGAATGTGCAGGAATACAGGATAGAACAACCAAGTGAATTTGTTCTTCTGAAGAAGGGCTACTAGATCTGAAACATTTCTCTCCAAAGATGCTGCCAGACTGGTTGAATTTTTCCAGCAGTTTGTTTTTGTTTCTTATTTTCAGCATCTGCTGTTCTTTAGATTTTCTTTGGTCAAGTGAATTGCTTGTTTGGGTAGCCAGTGTAGATGTGGGCTGAATGGCGCTGTAACAACTTTTTGTTTCAGCTGCTTTGTGGTGGTTGGCATTGGATTTGAATGCCAGTCGCTTGAGTAGCTGAACTTTGTAACATTGCTTTCAGTGAAATCGGAATGTATCTTAAAAGTCCTTTAAAGAACATTGTGAAGTGTCTTAAAAATGGGCTGCCTATGGGCAATCCATAAAAATTTCCATTTGGTCCTTTGCAGTAATGTTTTATCTACTGTTTTTTAAATTCAGCTGATCAAACCTGTGGACAGATCCTGAAGCCTAGCCAGTTAAAGCTCTTTTAAAATTTTGAAAGAGTTTGGTAGGATAAAGATAGAGAGGGTATTTCCATTTTTGAGTGACACCAAAACCAGAGGCCGTAGATATAAAATAGGCCCTAAAATCCAATCAGGAACTCAGGAGAAATCTCTACCCAGAGAGTGGGGAGAATGTGGCATTCAGTCCCAGACGGAATAACTGAGGAGAATACAAGGGACAAGGTAATAGAAGGGTATACTACTAGATAAAGTAAGCTGGGATGAGGCTCACATATAGTATCTGTGCTAGCGTAAACTTACTGCGCCATATGGCCTGCTTCTGTGTTAGTAATTCTATGTTTAAAAAAAAACTAATAGTATTTCGGCACAGAAGCAGGTCATTCAGTCTAATTGATCCAAACTCCACACGTACCTTCTGTTCTTGTGTCTTTGGATGTTTGAAATAAAGATGTGATGCATTAGAAAATTTCATAAGTAGTTCTGCATGTACTCTGTGACACTCCTGTGGGAATGTTTAGGTAGTAAATTGGATTCGTAAATGTGCTAGATTTTTGTAAAGTCGGAAACCTGCTATTGTCTTGATCTAATTTCAGGGAAAGGGTGGGGTTTGGATTATGTTCTGGGAGCTGTCTTTGTCCACTGGTAATGACCCGAGAGTGGAGATCCTAACACATTCCTCTTGTTCAATTCCGTTTCTGTTCTACTGTTTAATCTGAGTGAGTTGAAGTAAGCATTTCAGGAATGCTTCAAGAATGTTTTTTGTATTTGACATTTAGTAAAGATCCTGAGAGAGGATCGGATTTTGTCCCTGCCTTCAAGGAGAAAGAGCATAAATATGTGAAGAGGAAGCTTCAGCAGGCTTTGAGAGAGATTAGACCAGTAAGTCTAGTTTTGGGGTTAGTTCAAATAAAGAAATAGCAGTGATGCAATGGACTAAGTGGATAGAAGTTTGCTAGAATCTTCTACCCTGGAGTTTTCAGCTTTATAAAGTTCACCACCCCCCCCTCTACCTTCTCCCCCCCCCCCCCCCCCCAAAAAAAAACTCCAATAACACTGATTGTTAAACCTTTGAGTATAATGACAATTTGGATGATCTTGCAGCCAAGTAGGAGTATTGAGTGAGGTTCAGTTCTTCACAGGTTAAAAACTGCTACAACACTAACCTTTAGGTTCTTACAAAGTGAATTTCCACATTTGGGAGGGTTCCATTTTGATAATCAGATGCTAGTACTGTTTGCATGGCCTTGTACTTCTGGTCATTTCCCATGTACATAGGCCTTATAAACATGCCTATTCACAACAAGTTGTCACACTGGCCTCTGCTAGGATGCTGACTAGGTGATTTCTTTTTTCTGGATATGCATTCTGCAGGAAGTAGCTGACTAAGTGGTAGAAATGCCTCAGGATTCATTTACCATGTATCTTCATTTAATCATCACGGTAATGTTTTCCTGGCACTGTAGTAGGGCTCAGGGTGCTGAATATGGAATGTATTTCCAAGTGATTCCTGTAGAACATTCCTGTACAGCATTGTGAAAGCAGATCTTCTGGAAGGAGTTCTTTGAATAGCAGTCTGTGTCTTGTCAATTGACAAATTTGCTGATTTATTGTCAACAGGTCAACTAAAACTAATCCTGCCATCTCTGAGCCATGGACCTCAAAATTGGTATGCAGCCACGATAGTCTTTAGCAATCGCTTGTGTGACACAAATGATACCCATCACTTGCTAGCCAAAACTGGCCATCATTCGGTATCTGCTGTGTGCTAGAATGGATTTTCGTTATTGAAATGTTTATGAATACAGCCTCATTCTTGATCTGCTGATACAATGTAATTGAAACAGCTAGAGTTGGTTGGATTGCGGACACTGACCTGAGGATCCCTTGCTTAGACATTCTAAGGCTGTTGTGACTCAATTCCAATGACAGCAAACTTATTCCTTTGGTGTTTGGTATGAATCCAGCCACTTTGGTTTTTCACATTATCCCCAGTGTTGCTGGGGTTCCTTGGTTCCTTTGTTATTTGAATGCAACGTTGGTGTCTGTAACAGGCATTATGGTGGAATCCAACTTATCTGTTATCTCTCACTATTTTGCTGGAATTGAGACTGCTTGAGCTGTAGTTGTCTAAGGTTT